ACGTACCTGACTTGGTAGTAAAGAGGAAAACGGCTAGAAAGGCACCCACCAAGAAACGTGATCAGGATACATAGTGTGAAATCTAAAAAAGATATTTATATGAGCCAAATCTGAAGTACAAGAACATATAACAATAATTCAGCAAACACATATAAACATAAATCGGAGCAGAAGGTTATCTTAATAAAGTGTTATTTTCATTTCAATCAGCCCAATATTTTATTAATTAATCAAAATTTAAAAAATCAAGGAATTTTAACATGAGTGGTTGATGTTTTAAATTATTGATGATTTTTAAAGTCTGCATAATAACAATATGTGATTTGTGGGCATGATGAATAATAGAACTTTGGCTTTCAAATGAATCTAAGATCATTAACTTAATCCAAAAATTGGCAGAACTACAAATTTTTGGATGCAAAAGATTAAAAAATCCAAGACAATTTTTTTATACATCAATGAATGATAATCATATATAAGCATAATATATAGATTAAGAAGGTAAGACTACAAAAGATTTTATTTCAATCAATTGAATTTTGGTGAAGATAATAATGATTAATTGACTATATGGGTAATTTAGGCATAGATTGTTGAGATTTTAAATTGCTGACGATCTTTAAAGTCTATATATTAACAATATACGATTTTTTAGTATGATTAATGATGGAACATTAGCTTTCGAATGAATCTAAGATTGTAAAATTCCTACAAGAATTGGTGGAATTACAAATTTTTAAATTTTAAATTTTTGGATTGCAAAAGATTTAAAGGAACCCAAGACAATTTTTTTATACATCAATGAATGATAATCATATAAACATAATATATAGATTAAGAAGGTAAGACTACAAAAGATTTTATTTCAATCAATTGAATTTTGTGAAGATAATAATGATTAATTGATTATACATGTAATTTAGGCATAGATTGTTGAGATTTTAAATTGTTGACGATCTTTAAAGTCTATATATTAACAATATACGATTTTTTAGTATGATAAATGATGGAACATTAGCTTTCAAATGAATCTAAGATCGCCAAAATATCCTCAAAATTGGTAGAATTACAAATTTTTAAATTTTTGGATTACAAAAGATTTAAAGGAACCTAAGACAATTTTTTTATACATCAATGAATGATAATCATATAAATATAATATATAGATTAAGAAGGTAAGACTGCAAAAGATTTTATTTCAATCAATTGAATTTTGGTGAAGATAATAATGATTAATTGATTATATGAGTAATTTAGGCATAGATTATTGATGTTTTAAACTGTTGACGATCTTTAAAGTTTACATATTAATAATATATGATTTTTTAGTATGACAAATTATCGAACTTTGGCTTTCGAATGAATCTAAGATTGTAAAATTCCTACAAGAATTGGTGGAATTACGAATTTTTAAATTTTAAATTTTTGGATTGCAAAAGATTTAGATCTCAAGACAATTTTTTTATACATAAATGAATGATAATCATGTATAAGCATAATATATAGATTAAGAAGGTAAGATGACAAAGGATTTTATTTCAATCAATTGAATTTTGGTGAAGATAATAATGATAAATTTTTTTTTATACAGACTTCTGTCAGGTGTTTTTAGTTTTAATAAGCAATTAGAACACCCAATCTATAAAGAAAGCTTACTAGAATCAATTAATAATAACAAAAATAATGAAATGCTTATTTATACTCTAAATCAATTCAATCAGGTGCGTGTTATTATTCCATTAAAAATGAATTTCTTTTAGTAGGTAATAAATATTTATTTTTTAATAATAATAATAGAAAAAATATAAAAAAGAATTAGCAGAGTTTTGGAATTGGATTGACAAGAATAACACTTCAAAAACTTATTCAAATTATAAACAAAAAAACTTCTTAGAAAAACATTTAATTTGATACAGGAATCAAATAAATTTAAGAAATAACATTTTAGATAACTTGATTGAGTTTGTCAAAGAATATGAATCTTCAAAAATGATTGAGTATAAAATTCATCTAATTGATGAATATGAAAAAAAATATGTTGCAAGGATTAAAAAAGTATTTATTTTTTATTTTATTAAATAATTAACAAAATTAATTAAAAGAATAACAAAATTAACAAATTTTTGATATTTAGGATAAAATCAAAGACTACTACATTATATTATCCATCATTGTCATTTTAATTATTATGGTTTATAGTTTTTTTGGGACTGTAGATTTTTTTTATAAGAATTACTTATTTTGTAAATATTTTACTAAACATTTTATTTAATAGAAATATACCTTGATTACATTGATAAAAATTATTTACATTTTTATTATGTACATTTCTGTGCAATTAATTTTTTATGGTGGTTAAAACTTTTGTTGAGGGAGGAGTGTATATAATTATTCATTAAAAGGTTATTATTATTGTTATGAATATTGTTACCAGGATTGGGAATTTAATCTAATTCCAAATTTATTTTATTTATTTATTTTGTATATAATGTAATTATTTAGATTTGCAAAAATCACATTTAAAGTGCTATATCACATTTAAAGGCTACATCAGAATTAAGTTACTAATAATTTAATCATTGAATAGTAATTAAAGTGTAATACCATAATGCTATTAATTAATTTAAAAATAAAATAAAAATCTATTCTTAACTATTGAAGTTATCAAAATAATTAAATAAAAATTTATACCATTCACCTTAAAACTAATTTCATAAATTATAATTTATCTCTGACATATGATTGAACAATAACATTATCAAACTACAGTTTATAATTCGAATAAGAATTTGTATTTGTATTACAAATAGAAACCCTACTTTTTGGCTGAATAAAACAATAATTGTTTACTTTGCCAATAATTAAATTGACCAATAAAAAAAAGTGTAAAAACGTTTGTTAATTCAATTAATTCATAAAAAAAAAATTATAACTTTATTATACATCAATTATACTAACAAAAATGAATGCTAACAAAAAATTATGCTGTTGTGATGATTGCTTAAATAAATCAAATGATAAAGGGAGATATGTACATTCTAGAACTTGGAGCAGACATCAAGAAAAGAAAAACTTATTTGAAGGATTAGAAAATGATTCTGAAACTGATTCTTTGATGTCAATGGATAATGAAAACACAAAAACCAATGATGGTATTTAAAGAAAGATTTTAACCATAATTTTAAATAATATTTGATAACTAATTTTGTTTTTGGCAAATTTATAAACATTATAAATCCAGAAGAAATGATCTTGGATAATAAATTAGAAATTACTAATTTTGATGGTAGTCAAAAAAAATTTTTGTTTGCATATTTCATAAAAGATATTAATATTATTTTTTTAATTTAAAGATGCAGATTTTGATAATTCTGATGATGGTAATGATGATAGTGATGACCATAGCAATAGCAATAGCAATGATGATGATGATGATGATGATGGTGATGATGATAGTTTTTCTTCTGAAGAAGATGAATGCAAGTATAAATTTAATCTTTATTAATATTTTTGCATTATAATAATATTTTTTTATAAAATAATATTAGATGAAGATAATGAAGATAATATTTCTGATGATATCTTAACTGGAATGAATTTGCTATACTTGAAAGTGATACATAATTTTTCAAATCAAGCATTCAATGACATCTCTTCCAAAATCATCAAAAATAAAAAAATTAGTCTGTTTAAATCTAAAAAGCATTTGGATAAATTGGTGCCTATAAAACCCAAATATTATGAGATGTGTGTTAATAGCTGTTGTCTCTTTTATGGAAAATTCAATTCAAATCACACATGCCCTTTTTGCCATGAACCTAGACATATAAATCAAAAAGGAAGAAAATATATGCCCTATCTACCATTAATTGACAGATTCAAGATTCAATTTGGTAATAAGGAAAGAGTAAAAGAGCTACTATATCGTTGGGAATATATTTCAGAAAGTAGTGAAGAAATTGTTGGTGATATTTTTGATGGAAAACTTTACAAAGAATTATGTGAGGAAGGTTTATTTCAAGACAAAAGAGAATTGGCATTTTCAGTATCTTGTGATGGATATCAACTTTTTAAACAAAAAACAGATGAGAATTGGATTTTTTTAATAATCAACAATAATCTTTCTCCACAGTTAAGGGTTAAGAAAGAAAATCTAATTATAAGTTTCTTTATACCTGGGCCTGACCAACCAAAAGATTTTAATTCTTTTTTGCAACCATTGATAGAAGAAATGAAAATCTTACAAGGTGAATGAAATTTATTAATTTTTTTTATAAAAAAATTTTTTAACAAGAAGATAACACAAATTTACTATTTCATAGATGGTGTGAATTGTTATGATGCTTTACATAATGAATACTTTCAATTAAAGGCTCATATTTTAGCTTGGACTGGTGACATACCAGCTGTAACTAAGATCATGTGCTTCACTGGTCACAATTCCTATCAGGGTTGTAGATTCTGTAAAATCAATGGAACTTTGTTGAGAACTAATTCACATGTATATTTTCCATTGAATGATATCTCTTTATCAAATCTTCCTCTAAGAGAACATGAAGAAATTTTAAAGAACATCAATGAGATAAATAATTGTAAAACAAAGACTCTTAAAGGCTCTTTAATACAAAAATATGGTAGTTTCATTTTTTATATCTATTCTCAAAATTTTTTAATTGCTTCATCATTTAATATAATATTATTTAATAGGGGTTAAAGAAAAAAGCATTTTGTTTGAATTGAAATCCATAAAGTTTCCAAGATCCTTTCCACTTGACATCATGCATTTATTTTATGAAAATATTGGCCCAAACATGTATAAACTTTGGTCTGGAAATTTTTATAAAAATATTGATTTAGATGAAAATTATTTAATTAACAAAAAAAATTGGAAGGAAATTGGTGATATTTTACATAATAACAAGTATAATATGCCAAGTAATGGAAGGGTACCAAGGAATATATATAAGCATTCAGCTGGTTATAAGGCTGAAGAATGGTCTAAATGGATATCATATTTTTCTTTACCATTAATTAAAAGTAGAATTGATGACAGGTAATTACAATAATGTTTTATGGAATTTTAATTATATATTTTCTTTAATTACTAATGAAAAATGAAGGTTTTTACAAGGATGGGATTATTTTGTAAAGGCAGCAAGGTTATGTATAGAACCACAACTTGAAGGAGATGAGCCAAACTTAATTAAGGAAAATCTGGAAAATTTTTATTTACATTATATTAAGTATTATCATTTTTTTTTTATCATTTCTTTTTTTTTATTATTAAATATTATTTTTAATTTTAGTAATTATGGTGATGATGATGATCAAGAAAGACTGAGGATACATTTGTTAACATTTCACTACTTATTACATATAAGCAAATGTATAGATGATTTTGGACCATGTTGTAATTATTGGCAATATCCAATTGAGAGGCTTTGTGGGATGTTGTTACCATTAACAAAATCAAAAAAGGATCCATATAAAAATTTATTTAATAATATCACTATATTAGAACAATTTAACTTAATCAAATTTTTCCCACAGTATAGTTCTATTTTTGAAGACTCTGCAGAACAAAATAAGTATTGGCTCTCTCATAGAGTTTATACTAATAATTATTATGAAGATTGTGAATTCTATTCACCAAGTATTGCATATTCATTAAGTGGTAGTGAAATAAAGAAGTTAAAGGAATGTTATAGTGCTATTTATGATTTAAACATCAAATACATAAAGGTAATTAATTATTTGATTCAATTGATTTCTTCAAATATAATAATTTATTTTCTTGATTAACTTTATCAATCTAGGACATTTCTTCTAATTGTTTCAAATATGCAAAAATGATGAGCAAACATGGTCATATTATAAAATCAATATATAATGAAAGCAAGAAGGAAAAAAGAAAAAAGAATTATTTGGTTGCAGTATGTAATTTAATTTTCATTAAATTAAATTTAGTATCAAATGAAAATGCATTCTAATAATTTTTTCATTTAATTAGATTAATATGACCATTGATTTAAATTCTAGAAAAAAAAATGCACCTCAGAATTTAAAAGAAGTGGTTAAGTTTGGAAGAATATTATATTATATTGTTCATAATTATAATGAAAAAGACCACATGTTAGCATTTGTTAATTTCACTACTGATGTCATAACAGATGAATATGGCCTAAAATACTTTGAGGATTATAGTTTTACTAAATTTATAGAAATAATTGGAATTGATCACTGTGTAGGATTTTTATCTTTTATACCACCAAATAGAAAGGCTGAAATTAATTATATCATTGATGATGATAATATAGATTTTTAATAAGATCCCAAATTTTATACTAATCATCAGTTTACCCACTACCAGGAATAATATACAATATTATTGAAAAAAGGTATTATTAATAATTAGTTGTATTGTTTATTTCAATTCAACATCATCAGTCTTATCTGACAAAAATTTTTTTTTTGAAAAGTGATAAATTTGTACCCTGTTAATCATTCCTGGAATAAGAACTCTTAACAATATAAACATATACACTAATGAAAACAACAATCAAAAAATATCAATCAAAGAATATAGATAGAGATGGAACTATCTAAAAAGTGAGTTTTGGATTTATTATCAAGATTTAATTTGACATGATATTAACCAATTAATTAATCATTCAAATTTTAAAAAAGAACGGCAGTGAGAATGGAAGGTGGGGTGGTTGAAGTGGTCTTAAACAAAAATTAAAAATCAAATTTTTATAAATTTTTTTTACTTTTTTTTTTTGTAAATATTTTATCATATTTTTTTTTATTAAAAAATAAAAGTTATCAAATTAATTATTGTTTTAATTTGTTTGTATTGATTTTAATTACTCCATTCATTATGATTTCATCAAGGAATCTGTTCATTTGTTAAAGAAAAACTTATTTTTTGTATCTTGCTTGAATCAGTTGTAAACAAAATTTTTCTTTTATTTTTTAACTTATATATTTATCCTGTGAAATTATTTAAAAAAAACCACATCAAGTCAATTTTGGGAATGTCAAAATTCAAAAAAATTTTACATAATCATTGTTTTGGAATTTAATAAAAAAAGTATTGTCTCTTAAACCATATAATGAACTTTGCCATGAGCATTATATGAAAATTGTTGAGTCAGATAGATATACATGAAAAATACCAAAATAAATCATTAGAGATTGCCCAAACTACAATCAATGATTTATCTGGTGAGTCTGAATCAAGAGAAGATGAATTAGATTGGACCAGAATT